CTAACTTGTCAATCTGAGCATAAAATGGATGCATAAACAAGCTATTTTTTAAAGTTTAAATAAAAGAAATAAAAGAAATAGCAATTTTAATTAAGGAGTTTCGAGCGAATTGAATAGAACTTTTTATAAAAGCCTTGATATCTCTGAACATTATTATTAAGATATAATTCCCTGTTGCGCTGGACCTCACAATTATTTCATAGTTAATTGTAAGATAAGCTTACTTGTTGTATAATACAACCACGACTTCATTCGATGGTGTTACAAAGGCTGTCGATTTGACATTAGACAAATTATTGTCAACAGCTATTCTAACGGAGCCCCTATCGACAAATCTGCTGAAGTGTTTAATAGCATAGTACATCGGCTGTTTGAAAAATTCATCAGTCTCTGGATTTACAATGATGGGCGCGTCGACGTAATTCTGAATCCAATTTGGTCCACCCATCTTGTCCAAAGCTAAATTCCAATCTATCCATCCGATTCCCCAATGGTTCATGTACTTGAGATGGAATACAGTTCAAAAATAAGTATTGTGTGTGTGGGGGGGGGGAAGATAAGAGATTGCACGTTTCACATACAGTTAAGATAATTCTTTACCTTACCTCTATTATACTTAAAACGTATTGCTGTCCTCTGTCCCACGAACCTAAGGCAACCTTTGGATGATCCAGAGGACTGCTACCTGCGTGTCAAACACATATTAATTTCTAGCTGTAATTGTAACTGTGACGTTACAGAGCTTTTGATAACAACATAAGGTAACAGTGCACAATATGAGAGACTATCCATACTATTTTCATTAAAAAAGAATGCTGCAATGCTGTGGCAACAATTTAAAATTAATAAAACAAATGATACGAAGTGTATCATTCAGGAGGATATTTCTATTTGCACTTACAAACAACATTTCATCCATACCATACGTTTCTTTGTTCAATGTGGATAGATTATAACTAATATCCAGCAAGGGCTGAACGAATTTATTACAATCTAATATATATCCTATCTTTGTAAATAGCTCACCTGTACACGCCTCAGACATAAGAATGAATTTATCTGGAGCAAGATTGTGCGTTTTATCTAATATTGTTGCTGGGAAGTAGTCATCGAAATACCAATGTACAGCTATGCCACTAATGTAGTGTTTCGCTTTCGCATTTTCAAAAACTATCTTTGCAACCCAAGGTAGTTCGAATCTCTGATCATCCAGAAGGACAATTTTTGTCTGGTTGAATTCAGAGTTTTCTAGCATTGGACCAGCAAAATCAGCGACCCATTCGGCAACGGTCCTCGGTGTCCATGCCATAACGTTGAGCCTATCAAAAGGCACAAAGGCATTGAATGGCTCATTTCCTGTCGAAAGGCCCCATATATCGATGCCATTCTTTTTATATTCTTTCAGAAATCTGATCAAGTAGTTGACATAAGTCCCGTAATATCTTCTTTCCAGGAAGCCTAAGCATTAATTGTAAATTGGTATTACGGTATATATTACATAATTAGTTTGTGGATTCTTATGCATTTATACGGCGCGGAGTTTAAGAATGCAGAGGTGAAGAGTACGTGTTGTATAAAAATATATAAAATAATAGAAACACAGCACTTTCTATAACGTTTCATCTGTCATTTAATTGCATTTGTAAAAATATGAAAAGAAATCTATTGCAATAACGATCTCCGTGGGTTCAATTGCAAGAAGCTTATTTTCACAAATCTATTTAGGCTGCGCGTAGCCAATGATGTATGTTGCATCATTACACTTACCAAGTAATCCATTGATTCGGTCATTAGTTTTCATCCATCCTGGAGCTGACCATGCAGAACTGAAGAATCTCACGTCAGGGTTTAATTCAATGGCTCTCCTTATATATGGTATTTTATAATCGTAATCTTCCGGAGCGAGGCTGAAATCTCGCAATGATACGTCGTCGAGTGTGTCATCGTACGTGTAAGCCCTCGTTGAGAAATCAGTCCCACCGATTGGTATACGACCTAACGAGTATCTACTTCCGTTTCTACCGTAGTACGACCTACGATCGATTAAGCACACTCACTTATACGTGTTATTATTAAATCGCCCTTATGTTTACATTTTACAATTTCTTGGTTTATAATTTAGTGTTTTTGCATTTTTCACAAACGCGACTGCGAATTTTTATTCATGCAAAATTGCACAGCGTATACAATGAAAAAAATATATAAAATACAACGGAGTACTAGCATATGCTACGGCGAATAATTTTTATTGAAAGAAGAAATATTTATCGAGAATTAAATCGTATGTATTCAAGGAGGTTTCTGTAACATTTATAGCACGTAAAATTTCTTTTTTTTTTTTTTTTTTCGAAAATATGAATTTGAATAGAGAACACATATAAGACTATATAGACTATAAAGATGGTTAGCGTTCTATAAAATTTCTCTTCCCGTTTAATAATGTTTAATTACCGAATTAATTGGTCCTGAGCAGCACGACTGAGATTCCTGACATTTATTCCTGCCGAGTCTGTAAAAGCCGTACCATAACCGAAGATCGTTTGATATCTCTTCGTTGGATCTATGGTTAGAACGGGTCTGTCGGATGGCGCTTTACAGGTATTGAAATGCGCCTGTGACAAGTTCAGCCTCAGTCCACTTTTGCTCGAAACGTACCAATAAACGGTCCCGTTTTCTGGGATCTTCGGGTTGTTATCCGGCGTGTAATCGCAATACGTTGCATTACAAACGCACACGATGCCGAACTGAAACTCCCGAGGCACGCAGTGATGTGCCTGCGTATTGCCTGCGATTAACAGCATTTCTTTTGTTAAATAATTTACAATTGTTTTACGATTTTAAAAAGTCGTCGTACGACGTACGAGGATGCTCGTGAAATCGTGTTACAATTGGCCAGGGTTATAGTTCTACACGCGAAATCGAAACGATAGGCTAGCGTTCTTTCATTTAGAACTTTTTTGAGAAAATTGAATACTGCCTTTTATTACACTTACAGAATAATATTTTCGAGATCTGTGAAAAAAGAAACATTCTCATTATTTTCAAAACAAGTTTAGTTAAGAATTGCCTGGTACATTTTATATACTTGATTTTTCAAATTTCAATTTTTGAAGTATGAAGCATCAGTTTTCATATTTTCACTCTACGCTTTCACAATCGATTAGTCTAGACTTATTTTTTGCATCTCTTGGCCGATTATAACCACGATTTTAAGGATACTCAGAATTTTAATGATCATATTTGAACACGCATTATTCTACATGTTACATTTTAATATTTCATTAACATTGTCATGAGAGACATGACTACGTTTATATTGATAAAATTTAAAAACAATCTGAAAATTTAGGTATATAGTTACAAGATGTTTATTGCATGAAATTAGTATAGGACAGCCATCTGAAGCGTATAATGTATATTAATGTGTAATATTATTATGTATAATTCGGAAAAAGTTTTTGTAAGTAATTGAATATTTTTAATTTATAATTTTCTAATGCGTCCGATACAGTTCAATTTCTATTAATTTTCGCGAATATCATTGTAAAATTTATCGAGTAGGTGTATATGTTTTCTTACCAGCGATGACGAACGTCACGAGCAGAATCACTGTCCAGGATCTGTTCCACATCTTCATCGATAATTCTTAAAAAACATGCATATAATATATATTAGGTATTTTAAAGAATGCAATTTCTGATTTTTCTTTTCTTTATCAAGAAAAACTAAAAGTTGACCGATTTTACTGAACAAACTTACTTTTTTGATATGTATTTGAATCTTTGACTGTACATATATACTATGTATACATATGTAAATTCATAAACGTCTTTTTTTACCACTTTTTAATACATTACACAAGCTAATATATTATTTTATTTTTTATTATGATCACTATTTTTCTCGTCAAAACATCATCGTTGACACACAGTGAAACAAAGTTTTTGAAAAAATCGTTATATTAGGACTCAAAAGAAACAGATTTCTCTATCTTTCAATGTTCTTTTGCTTGCTCTATGAACGATCAAACATATTGCATATATTTGTATAGGTTTCGTACATTTGAACGAGTGCTTTCTTCTCACGAAATGTGAAATCGGAGAAGATCCTTGTCAAAATATCTTACCTTAGATTCAATAATATCTCTTTCGAGAATCAATTGAGGTGCAGGTCGTGATATTGAGGGAGGGGGTGGGATATTCTTATTATAAACTTCAATAATTCACAACTGTTTGTTCACTGATCGTGAGAAGAATACTTTTTCAGACTGACTTTCTCTTCGTCTTGATCTTGTTACTCGCGGCTGATGTTGCTGTTAGTTGAAATCAGGTGTGTGCGTTACGTAACATGCGAATTCGACTGAGGCAGACGAGACCCAACGGTGCAGTAAAACTATAATACATTGCTGAGAAACGTGGCATCGCGCGACATCAGCTCTCCCACCTATTCCCAAAGTAGTGTTGCACCGCACGTCACGGCGCGTTGTTGCTTTCTCATTCGCGTTACATCTCTACGAGTACTCTCGCATTATTTTTTATTATTTTTTT